ACCTTTCATCCCATTCTGTGGATCGGGGTTCTTCCGTTCTTGCAGAAGTCTATATTGCTGCTGTTCTTATATATTCCAAGTGAGCCCAACATTAATAACACTATGCTTAATATTCAGAGGTGTCCAATGAAAGAATCACACATGGCAACCAGCCTTTTTCTTAATGCCCACATTTCCAAAACCTCTACTAGATGAACACCATGTTCTCTCATGGAAGGCCAAACATGTAACGTGATTTATTAGGTATATAGAGACAGTCAGACTTTAGCATTTCTTAATAAGTCTTGCGAACTGTCTTGGCATCTCATGGAAAGAGGATCAATAAATCATCACGCACAGGAGATTGTTGGTGGTCATTTTTACCTTCACGCCTTTTTGTCTTTTTGTAAATGTTTTGGTTTAAATAAATGTCCAAGAAACAGAAAACAAGAATGAATAAATATTGTTTTTGAGTGTTCTGCACCATTTGGAGATAACTGTTATAAGTAAATAAAGAATGAAGTGCTTACAATTGTAGCTTCATGTAGGTTCAGTAACAATACTTGTTTTACATTTATTTTTAATGGGAGACTCTCCCACGAAGCAGCAGAACTGAAAACAGCAAAACCACCTCCAATCCACAGTGGCCCTCGAATCATGTGACTTAATCTTGGATGCTAAATTGCGCATTAATTCCGGAATTTTACTGAGTAATAAATGACACCAGAAGTTGGTCCAGTCTCACCATGGTACATTTTTAAAAAATTGATTGTCATTTAGAAGAGAACAAAGCCTAACATGAAGCACAGGGTGTACCTTTCACAGTGTACCTCTGTGAGACAATAACTCCTCAAGGCTGCAGTAAATAAGCAAACTCTTGGGGAAATGAGCAGTGAAGTGAATGCCTCTATACTGTCCATAGTCTCCAAGGTATCACTGTCTGAAATGTATCCACTTGTCATAAAAAATATCCTACCACCCTAGATAGCCTTAAGCCTGTTTTATCTTGTCATTCTACAAAAAAATAAATTGGTCCAGGATCTGTTTATGTAGTCTTTCTGTAGATATGTTTGTATAGTTTCCCTCAGCGATTTCGGATTTTTTGCACAATGAAAGCTAGCGTGACTAAAATTTGTGTGGATAACATCCGTGTTTGATTTTTTTGGTGCTGGTGTGGAGAAAAAGTCAGTGCAGCAATTTTGTGTAGGTTACAGTCAAATCAAAATGTCGATGAGACCACACTAGAAATGTTTAGTTAAAATGTAATGATTGACATTCAGGTGGACATCAATAATCCCAAATTAAGTTAGGGTAATCAATGAAATTGATGATGTCTGCTTTCACAATGTGTTATTGTAGCTGTGTGCAAACACAAAATACACCATGGAGCTAAAATGAGTTTTCAGCAGGGCTGGTGACATCGGCAGCAGCTTAGGGTTCCATCATCTGAGGGGGGCGACTACTTTAGCCAATTTCGCTTCTTCTTGGATGGGGGATGTTGCCAGTGAAGTTTGTATGAAGCTTCACATAGGCTTCAACCAGTATTGGTGATCAACATTCAGTAATGCTAATGAGGAATGGTAAAGGGACAAACATGCTTGTAGGAGTTTTACTTACATGTAAATGTTCTGAGGGCATAATGAAAAAATGATTGATTCAGAGAGATAACCAATCAGATTGTAAAGGAGGTGGGTCCAAGCAACTACAAGAGGCAGGACCAAGACATCTGATTGGCTGGTTCTACCTCCTCTAGTTGCTTGGATCCATCTCATCTACAATCTAATTGGTTATGCTTCTGCACCAATTATTTTTCGTTCTGCCCTCAGAAAATTCTTATGTAAGTAAAACTCCCATGAGTGACAAATGCATAGCTGCTACCATACAGATTAGCTCCCGTCAATAAAGTAATTTCTTAAGGAGCAATTAAGATGATACTAAATATCAACGGCATCATTAGACAGTTTTTTTTTTCATTTTTAATTTAGTGATAATCATTTATATTGTCAAATTTTGGATATTGTACGAGTATTATAAAGATAAAATTCTCATCATTTATTGCTTATGTGGGTTTTTAGTAAAAAGCTGTATACAGAGTTTAAACAGTTTCACAAATGCTCTGCATTAAAATAAAGTCACCTTTAAACTCGACTCCATAAAATCTGGTTGTGGCAAAAATTTTCTGCTGAGAAGTATAAAGGAAAATAGTGTTTTGAGTCGCTGACCACTGCAGCATAGTGCGACAAGAACAACACCTCAGGCATCCAGCGCCAAGCACGGCTCCTTAGAATACATCCTTTATACATCATGCATGGAAAAATATACCTTAGCAAACCGCATCTGCAGATGGCTCCAGTGGTCGTGCTTGACCGACATAGCCACGAGGGCACGGAACTCCACTTACTGCAATGAAAAATGAGTCACCCTTGTGACAAGGTAAACAAAGGCCACAGTACTGCGAGAAATAACAGAGAGCCAGGTGTTTTTATAGGGGAATGATTTAACCTGATCGCCAGTGTCCCCGACCTGAGAAAATACCTCTGTATCAGAAGGTTCATTTCAGGGAAGACACCAGTTGTTATTGCCTGTTAGAAAATGGATCTTATTCTGTATGAGACTCTCACCATTGACATGCAGGGACAATCTGTGTCAGAGTGCTGCAGGAATCTGTCTATGCCTCACAATTCTGTCGCTTCCAGTAATTCGGGGCAATCTTGACTTGGTAACTTCCTCCTGGCTTGACTTAAATGCGAAAACAGGCACAGTTGACTGGTGTATGAATTACCTATGTGTTAGGACAGTATTGGTCTACCTAGTCCCCAGGGAGCCCCAGACAGTCTACAGTGTTGCTCCCTTCCAGCATCCAATAGACCTGAACCCAAGGGTGTATGTTTGGTTTGAACACTGGTAGGGACCAAATCAGCCCCAGTGCCCCCACCCCCCTAGTTTCACATGGTAGTTCCGCACTGTCCTTACAATCTACACACAAATCTATGTCCTTGCCAATCAAGAACACTGAATACCTAGTACAGGTGTGCTGAGAGGTGGGAAGATGTGGACTGTCTGGACTTGGTTGAGAAATACTGGATTAGGATCCCAACTATCCCCTATTGATTTCAGGGAGGCAGATGAGGGACATCTGGGAGGGAAGGGGGGCTGGCCAATGATTAGCTGGTATTACAGTAATAGTGTATATATATTTCCAACTGAGGTGGGGGAGGGGGATAAAATTTGTTGACCTGGACCTGAGAGTGATAGTAAAATTTGGGACGAGGTTGCAGCGGTAAGACCTGCTGGCTATTTTTACCTCCCCTGAATAGCGGAACGACAGATTTCTGAGACATTGCATATCATTTGCGGGTGTCAGAGAGCTGCTGTCAATTTGCAGGAGATTCCCGGAACCTCCAAGAGAGGTGGGAAGTCTAGGATAACCTACTTGTAAGTGTAGCAGAAGTTCAGTCCTTAGAGTCAAGTCATCTCTTGATAAAATTTTATCAAATTAAATATAGAAAGAAGCAAGATAGGCTGGACCAATATTTGTAACAAACAAGGATTCTTTGAAGAATGACTCACTGTCTTTTGACACTAATCCTTTGCTCTAGTATACTGTGATAACACTGTGTAAACATCTATATTCTTCAAAAAAACATCATGTTCAGCACATCAACCAACAGCAGTAAGATTTTGTGTATAAAGTACAAAATGATCCTGCACAGCTGCTACTCTAGAAAAGTACCTTACTCATGTAAACACATAAAACACATCCAGCAAAATTTTAGGGATGTTTTTTTTTGTTTGTGCTTTTTTTGGGAAAGAATGCAGTGGTCATACAGTATATAGTTTTAACCCTTATAGCAAACATTTAAAGCTAATTGAACATCGTAAAACTGGCCACAAAAGATGGTTTGTTGCATTTAATACTCTCTCTCTGGAAGTGCCAGTCGAAGGTCATATGGCACCCATGGGGTGCCCCATGTCCGTGGCAGAGTGAGACTGGCTTGCTGAGCCGTCGCCCCCCCACAGGATGGCACCGTAGGTGGCTGCCTATGTCGCTTAATGGGATGACCGACACGGATTTCTAGTGTCTTCTAGTTTTTTGTAAAAATCCCACCACAGAAGCTCAGGCAAACCCCATGACATGGGCACGGATCCATTTGCTAACTGAGATTAGCGCACCATCATTTTGTAGCTACACACCCAGCCTAATGAACACACTGCAATTCCCATCAGGTTGGGTGCAGATTCTCTGTAGTCAGCACTGCAGGTGTTTTATTTGCATGTTGTGCATGGCACTGGGCGCAGTGAATACCAAACGCCAACCTGGGAGCCTGAGGTAATGCGATACACTGCCAGCGCTTAACGCTATGCCAGACATCTATCGCTTTGCCAGTTCTAATCTTGTTAAAACGGCAATACATAATAGACACAGATGTGTCAAATTAAATTTAAAAATGGCAAAACGTTACCCGGCAAATACGATTATGTAAAACGTCTGACTTGGAACACACTGATGAGATCCATCATGTTTAAATTCAGTAGGAATGTGACTGTATTAAGTATCACGCCTCCAGTTTCACATGTGTGGACACTGTGATGACAAACGGCATTAGTCATTTTTGAAGGACAAAACCCATGTTCCAAAAGAGGACAAAACCAGATTTCATTATTATTTTAAAGCTAACAGTACAACCTCATTGTTATCTGATTTCCTAAATGAAGTCAATTATACAGGATGTCCCGCCTACTGAATCCTAATTGGCTGAGTTTATAAATATGCCAAATGATTAACTAACAGTGCATATCCCTTTTCCTCCTGGGGTAACCAGTTCGTTGGACATTGTCATTTCTTTCCAGGAAAGTGTTTCTATCAGATTTTTGTGTGAATACTGTGACCTGCCATGAAATGCTGGTAAGGGGCATGCAGAAAGTTCCAGAATCAATGCAAACCCAAAATTAAACAGCAATTCACACAACAGCAAACAGCAGATCATTTGCATGTTAACATACGTGGGACAGCAGAAAGATAACTACATATACAGGATTTTTTATTCACATTTTTTCCAACACTCATTTTTCCACCTTCACCATGGTAAACACTTATTAATAATTGGTAACATTTGTTTCTTTTGTGAACGGTTTCACATCAGTATTAATACCAGAGGAGGTGGGTCAATTTCATGTTTTAATTTGTGAAATTCATATTAATTCACTGGACCAATTGACTGCTTATTTTCTTGCTTCTTCAAGTATCTTCTCCTCCAATTCCGCATATCTCTTCAGCAGAGGCCTAAAAATCTGAGAAGGAAGACGAAAAGACCTCACTGAATAGAGCAGTAAAAACACATTTCAACTGCACATTCAAATTACTCACACCTGCAGTTTTGTTCAAGTTAATTAAATTTTATATATGAAACCAAGTATGCACTACATCAGTTTTATGTTACAGTTCCAGTTTAATAGTAAGACTAAATAAGAGATATTAGTTACTTTTTCCCCCTCTAAGAATTAAAGAGCGACAGCTGCATTATTCATGTCCTTTTGCAGTACAGGGTGAATGTGGAGCCTGTCTCAGGAAGCACAAAGCCCATGGGAGGCGATGTCTGGGACAGGATGGCAGTCCATCGAAAGGCCACATAAAACACAGGATCAATGACTGGCCTGAGCACAATTGTCCTTAAGGAATGGAGAATTTGTCCTCAAGCCACCAAAAACCAGAGGAGCATATTTTAACACCATGGACCTCTCTTGGCTCAGAAGAGTGACTCTCACCTGGTAGGAAACCAGCCTAACAGTCAGGTCTGTTCTCAGACAGAAGTGTCCTGGTCTCCTATATATATATATATATACTGACAGGTTTTTATATATATATATATATATATATATATATAAACCTGTCAGTTTGTAGTAAAACAGAACTCAGTTCTCTGACAAAAGATTAATGAAATAGTGAGCCAGGGACAGTAAACTTCATAAGAAGCCGAAATACTTCAAACGCCTGGCTCTAATTTGGCTCAGTCTCAGCCATGCCTTGGTCAACTCATCCATCGGCAAAATCATTATCCCACAGAGGGACGTGGGAAGCCTGAATTGTAAGGTCAGGGGGCACAATGAATGGGATGCCAGTCTGTCGCAGGACACGCACTTATCCACTAGTGCCAATTTACCTAAAGTAATATCCAACAGAGAACACTGATTCCCACATAAGAAATGCAATTACACACCACGTTTCCGAGCAACCTTCTAAACCAATCACCAGCAACCAAAACTACCAATAAGGCAATTGCACACAAAGCCCCAACCGCAGCATCCTATCAGGATATGCCAACCACACGGCCGATTCCCTTTGATCACATGACCACCCTCCAACCCCCTGTTCTCCAAATGGCAGCATGAATTCTGCTTTCTGACTGCATGTCCCCCCCCCCCTCCTGTAAATAGTCCAAGAGCTAGAGAGAGACTCGAGTTCACACTGGCGGGGGCGGAGTGCTTAACGAAGGGCCGTCGACTCTGTAAAGTGGCCTGTTCTACTTTGAGTCAGCCTCGATCTGAAGATTCAAGTTGCTGAAGCACTAAAGAGGCCTTTATGCGGTTGTGTGAGTTGGGGGGCGGGGGGGGGTTGGGAAGGAGCAGAACTGCGTCATCCATGTGGACATGTGACTTGCGCCTATAGCTCAGTAAAGGCCAGACTAATTATAGTTCAGACAGCTTTCTGTTCAACTCTATAGACGTTCTTACATAGGTGGCTATTCAGCGCTGTGCTGCAGCGTTGGCGAGCCACGACTTATCAGGGAAAAAGAAACATTTAACACCGTCAACGGAGGCACCGGCAACCTCAGCTCTTCTAAGCAGCTTTGTGCAGAAGTACAGCCCTTCACAACAGGTTGGCAAGCTCACTGCTCCTCCCACACGCTCCCACACCTTCATCAGCACACCACATGACTTGCGTCTTCATCACCCACTTCTAGATGGACAGGAACAATTGCTTACGATTTGCGGAACAAATGTGAAAGTAAAATCGAAATTCAAACCTGTTCTGCTCCCGGGCCAGGCGTCGCAACCAGCTTCGGTTCTTGTGCATGTCGAACAGCATCGGCAAAAGACACACCCCTTTTGGCCTCAACTCCTGCCAAACACACAGGCGAAATTAACAAAACATTCTCTAAAAACCAACTGCAGCGCCCCCTACCAAGTGCACTGACAAGACAGTCAGCAGGAGAGCCAATAAGGTTACAGAGACAGTCAACTATAGAGTCAGGGAGGTTTCAGAGACAGTCAGCAGGGGAGCCAATAAGGTTACAGAGACAGTCAACTGTAGAGTCAGGGAGGTTTCAGAGACAGTCAGCAGGGGAGCCAGTGAGGTACCACTTTAATTGACTGTTAATTAAAAAAAAAATCATACAATATCATTGACCAATAGCCCAACCCCAAATGCATAAAAAATAAGACATACCTAGAAACAACTGGCATGCAGACAGAAATGCAAATAGGTAGAGTACTATTAAATACATATACTATGGTTCACATTAATTACACAAAAGCCAGGATCACAGTGCTAAAGCATGCAGTGCTGTGATATATAAAATAAAAATGATGATCCAATAAGCAAATGAAAAACACTTCACCTGGAATGATTCCCGGGGGCCACAGTGTTGCTTACATAACATATTACAGAGACATTGACCTTTGAGTTGGCCAGGCTGTCAGATTAGTCTTCGTAGGAATGCACCTGGCATTTAAACACAGCAGGACTGGAAATGCGCGACCCAACCTGCCAGCCAGCATCACAAAGAACTGGGATTTCTCCTCAGCATTTACTTCTACTTTAGGTTAAACCATGAAAGAAAATAGATATACCATGGAAAAAAAACAACTGGTTTTGACACTGGCTTAATAATCTACACTTTTATTGGACAGAGGATGCTTCGAGATCACAGAGATCTCCTCCTGCATCAAAGCATCCAAACGCCAAGGCCGATATCTCCCCCCGCATTCTGTCGATAATGGAACGTCCCAACAACCAAGCAGCAGGTCACTTTCCAACACAGGAACCTGGGTGACAGCCTGCCACTGCGAGCCTGTCGTTAAGGGGGTATAGTGCTCATCGAGAGGTGCAGGAATACGCGTCTGTGGCTCAGATCACACCTGGCATGGCAGAACTGGCTGCCTCTGGGCCGGGAGGGTAAATAGGACCCCAAGTGGCTCCTTGGGGAGGCTTTTTGCAGAAAACACACAGGTGACATTCAGTCAATTTATAAATGCAACAGTAGTGTAAGCTGTAATTCAGGGGCATATACAGGGGCGGGATCACAGAGGCACTGACCTCAGCTGAAAGCTGATTGGCCCCTGAAGTTCCCATCCCCTGTCACTCACCAATTCTAAATATATCATAAATATATCATGACGCTTCCTCACAATGAAGGTAATGTGCCTCATTTGGGACTCCTCTAGCAACTGCTTATTCGACACAAAGTCAAACCAGAAGGACCCAAGGCCTGTCTGTATGAATTATGCTCCCACTTATGTACCCCAGATCAGGTCAGGGAGCATGCGCTGATGCACCCACCACACAGCGAAACTCCTCGAGATCCCGACCGGCGATCCCCCAGGCAGATACATGGTCCAGTCCCACTCTCCAGAAATGACCGACTATCTGCCGCAGCCAGGTGTCACGTGGGCGTCCCCTTGGCCTGGTCCAGCCCCTTGGGTCCTCAGCATTGAGGATCCTGCGAGCCGGATCACCCTCAGGGAAACGCGTCACATGGCCATAGGGCCGTAACTGACGCTCCCTCACAACGCAGGTAATGTGCCTCATTTGGGACTCCTCTAGCAACCGCTCATTCCACACAAAGTCAAAGCAGCGGGACTCAAGGATTCTCCAAAGAGAGACAGTACCGAAGCAGTCCAGTCTTTGTCTCAGCTCACTGGATAGCATCCATGTCTCACAGCCATACAGCAAGACAGGGAGCACCAGGACTTTAAAGGTTTGGACTTTCATCCTGTGGCAAAGATATCTGGAGCTCCACACACCCCTTTCCAGCGACCTCATGAACCCCAATGCATGCTATGGCTTGCATGCAATATAATTCATCCATCTTGGAAGTCGGGTGACCCTCTGCATATCAGTAGATGCACTCAGGTCCCAAAGCCCAACCCTGGACACACTTCTAGCCCCTACCAGACTCTACACATGTACCAGGGTACCTGTGTGCTCCCCCCCCCCCAACCATTCTACCTGTTCACATTCCTTAAAAACCTCATTCCTCCCTCTCATGCCCAGGTCACATGACTTGGTTTCAAACTCCCCAGTCACATGACCAGGTACCGTCCCACCCAGTCACATGACTCAGTTCCCATCCCTTCTCAGAGCAAGTCTTACAGACATATGCTCCATCCAGGCTGATATGATACAATGAAGTGTTTACATTAAACCGTTTTTACTGAGCGTTAATAATAATTCACTCTGCTAATAATTCCTGCTGTCTGAGGAGCTCACACACACACACAGACACATACACACTCACCTACAATGCTTGTGCACATGAGGAGAACATGCAAACTCCCATAATCCTGATTACAAGATAATGCCCAAAAAAATATAAAAAGAGTAATTGCTTACACACATGAACATAACATACTTTTACAAGACTTCAGACAGGCTCTTTGTCTTATGACACATAAGAGCTTATATTCTGGAACACGCCGATCCAAAGCACCTAAATCTCAACAGAAACAAACTGAACAGAGACCTAGTTTTTAGGCATACTGCATCACAGATGAAGCAGAGACGCTAAATCCTTCATTCAGAAACGATTTCCAAAGGGCATGGCGCTGTTTCCTTAGCCTGGAACTTAATTTACTCAAAAGAAATGATTCCCGCAGACAAACAACCAAACCATTTCTGTGTGTTTGTTTTAAGCAGGAGTCATCATTTGTACAGGAGGCGAGTCCTTGCAGCTCCTCGCAATAAACAAAGTCTGATTCCATCTAAAAATCAGGACCTGAGGTGACGCCCTTTTGATTCTTTTGTTTTGTTTTTGTCTTTCCACTGCAAAGAGGGACCATGCTGCTTTGCAGGTTCCAGAAATTGAGGCCAACAGGATTCTGGAAACTGTCCATCAGTTTTGGCTGGGCTTGTCCTCTTTAATCAACCGGGACGCGACTGAAATCTTCATTCCTTCGACAATAAAACGCATCAATATCACATTTGCGCCGGATGCAGCGGACAAGGGCGGCCATGCAACAGGCTGAGGGCCTTTGGTCTCAGCTTCCAAATCCCTTGGCGGATTACTTTGTATTTTGACTAGCAATTAAAACCAAACGATAAAACGTAATGAAAACGGAGACGGTGACGCTCAAGCACGCTGTCTCCACGAGTTAGCGGCGCGCGGGCCTTCTGCTGCAAGACGAAACGGTGGCTTACGTTCTCATTTACGGGATTAAATGGGCTCTTGGCAACATCCCCCCGATGCGGCCTTTTCCCAAGGACTTAGGACAAGATCCAAAGAGGCGTAATGAGCACCAAGGAAGAGCAAAACAATGATCAATATGACACATGCCAAACATCCAAGGATTTGCATTAATAATTCACGCTGCAATTGTCTCGCAGTCTGAGGGTCTCATTAATAACTAATCAACATTTTCATTTTGCTTAACGGTTTATCAGAAAGCTCAATAATGGCATGGCGAACAAAGCCCAACATCCGGCTCCCAAAAAAGTACGGTTTTACTTGCATAACTTTATATTCGGTCCGTATAGCAAGTGAGATCGGCAGCCAGTTAATTCCTAAATTGTTGTCTGAGGTTTAATGTCAAATCATTATAAAGGACGTAATTATAGCCGTTTCCACTGGGTCGTTTCATCGGGCACAGGGCTGCACTCGTTCACTAATTGCATTTCCAATTTGTTTAGCGGTGTTTTCAGAGGAAGGATGGATCGTTACATTGGCGTTTGATTATAAGTGCTAGCTAGCTCATCCACAACGGGCAGTGCATCTAAAGGTCAGACTCATTTTTTTTTTGGCCAAAAAAAAAAAAATCCAGAATTCCACTATTAGTAAGAAATTACACCTGTGCACCCAAGGCTGTTCACTGCTATTGATCCATACATCCACCTATCCATCTAAGAGGGCAAATCAGAATCACAGATTCACGAGAAGCATGAGTTCATATAGGTGAGGAAACTGGATCGTTTACCAATAAGAAACTGAAAAACAAGCAGGCACAGACTTGGGACCAGGTTGAATGCACACACCTGTAAGTGTGACGTGTGGGTTCCAGGTGAGTCTGAGAACTGATCACATAACATGCAGACATAAGGGGGGACTCCAAGCATGGACTCCACAAAACAGCAACAGAGACAAAACAGAACCCTATTTCATTACATGAATATAGTGGCTAATAGAATCCAAAATGTAAGGCTTCCACTACGGCCTGGCCTGGAAACATCGGCAAATGCATGCAGTCGGATTTCAAGTTCTCTTTGTTGTTTTATCATTTGTATCGAAAATAAGCTTTTTCCCAGCTTGGATGTGTGGTTCGAAGGCCATGCAGGTCTAATCATCTGGCCAGCCATTTGACATCATCATGTTTACTACAAGGAGGGCGTGACAGAGACGTCATTTCATTCACACACAAAAAAAATCTATTAACGAAAACAGACACAACACAATGCAAATTTCACATAGCATACACAAACACAGAAAAGGGCTCTTACATAATTATTCAGCAGAAACTTTTACCTAAAGCAACATACAGTTGAGAATGCAGGGTCATCCAGTCACTGTTGCAATTAGGGGTGAAGAGCCGTGCCCAAGTGCCCACTGGTGAAACCTTGGGATTCGAACCAACACCTAACCTGCTGAGCCACGCACTGTCACTAACACCCATCACTGACTAGGCACGTCCCCTCACCCAGGATGCCACACTAACCCTATACATGTGTCAGCAGCCTCACATGAAGGAATGAGCAGGCGTGTATTAATGCGAGCGCCGTGGCATCACCTTCAAACGCCTTTTCTACGATCACACCGGTACATGCTAAACAGGATCAGTGGGGTGAGGGTCCCTGTAAAAGCCAGTCCCTCCCTCCCCAATCCGCCTCACAGGCTGCCGCCCAATCCCACTCTGTGGACCTCCACTCACTGCCTATGGGCACTGCGGCCGCTCCTGTTGCCATAGTGATAACTCCAGATGCATAGAGCGCAATAACCTACTCCTGAAAGCCTTAACGAAACGACACATCACAATCACCTCGCTTTTATTGCCTGCATCTGACAATTGGATATGCAAGGGGAAAAAAAACCTTAAGATTTATTTTAATTTGATTTAGAATAGCCTTGCGAAGAAACCCCACCTTCACGTAAAATCTCCGTTTAAGCACAATACTTTTGTATTGAATCAGGTTTTAGGATACTCAGAAAGCACATTTATTGCTAATTTATCAGGTGAATTTAAAAGAACCAAACAGGTGAAGAAATACTACTCACAGTATTTATATTTATATTATAAAAAATCATTTGATAAAATGAGCATTTATTAACGTTTATTGACAGCTAAAATCAGTTCTGAAAAAAAGATGCAGGTGGGAGGCTGATTTCCACTGAAGTTGACCTCAGGTCTATGAAGCACTGCCTAGGGTCGGCTACAAGTATGGGGCAGGTGTTGTTGTTTCAGGGGCCCTGCTCAGAAGGTCACTTTGGGCCCCCCTTGCCCCTCCTAATGTAGTGACAGCTTGTGAGCAACAGGCGACCAACAAGTCTTTTGGTTTTTTGATTACAGTCACAGATATTTATAAAACTGAATTTCCCCCGGTGGGGAGTGAAAAAAAAAGGTCCCCACAACCTCAAAATAGCAGGTTTTTATCACATTGTGGGGACATTTAGTTCCCACAATGTAATGTGTATTTGACCCAAGCACACACCGTTAAAATGATCACTTTATCTATTTTGGCTGGTCAGGAACCTTGCTGCTGGCTATAAGGAAAGCATGTTACTTGAGGCATTTTCATAATTTATTCAGATAAAGGTTGTTATATAAAAACACTGACAGCCCTATACATTCTGTATTTTACTTGAAGAAGAAACACCCAACTACATAATATAGAAACCATAACCAGCAAGCCAGTCGCAAGGTCACTGAATTACACTGCGATTTAACAACACTGGTTGGTCACCGGTTTCAGCTCTTGCCTGCCAGCTTAATTGGCTGTGCTTTTGAAACCACTCGCTGACTTCATAGGGAGACCTCTGTTGCCTGAAGAAACACTTACAGCACACATCTGCCGTTTCGACACCTCCCACCGACTGCCAAAGACACATTTGAAGATTATTGTACTATTGAACCCAGTGTGCGTGAAACTGTCGGTGGGGAACCCGTTTGCTTGGTTTGTTCGACGTATGCTTTGATCAAAACCACAAAAAATAAAAAAACAGACAACATTTTTAACCTTCTGATCATTTCTAATATTTCTGCTTCTCAAAATACGGGAATAAAAAATGGACTAGCTATTGTATGTTTAATAAATTAGCTAAATTAAAATTAATTGTTGCAATAAACAAAAATGGTAAAATGTGCCAAACAAATGAATCAGTACACACCTCCTGAAAACGGCATTCTGATCACTTTTTGTGACCATAATACAATTCTGCTAGCATATGAAACTCATTTTATGTTTAGATTTCACCTCTTGGGTCCCCTTAAGTAATAGCTAAGAATACGATAGACTCTTTAATGCAAAGCAACGGACAGTTGAGAAAGCAGGGTCAGCCAATCCCTGGAGCATTTGGGGGTTAAGGGCCTCTCTCAAGGGCCCAATGGTAAGATCACTTTACCAACCCTAGGATTTAAACTGGCGACCTTCTGATCACAGGTACAGAGTATTCACACGCTGAGCCGCACACCGCCCCCGAAGGGCTGGAATACCAGGGCTTACCGTGCTTTGCTCTGTAGGCAGAGCCGAGGCAGGCGGAGTTGGCCGTGTCGATGGTGTACACGGGAGCGTTGAACACGTCAGCAAGGACCTGTGAGGTGGGTGGGTAGGGAGGCTGGAATGAGTCCGGGGGGGGCGCGATGGGGGCTTCTTTTCAGAACATGCTAATGCAGATAGAACCTTTGTAATGCATATTAGCCATTATAAGGAAACACATAATAATTATAACCCTCTCTCCACACATCTGTTTCAAGGCTTCCAGGAGCAGAGAGTTCAATCACTGTGACTTCATGTGAAAGTGAAATGTCCATCCACCCCTTTTGCAAAAAAAAAAAACACGGATTGCGGGCAGCCTGGAGACTGCTGGGCAGGAGAGACCTTGTATGAGATGGCAGCACATTAGGGAATGGATGTACACACGCGCATGCACACACGCACACACACACACATACACGCACGCGCATGCACACGCACACACACGCACGCACGCACACACACACACACACACGCACGCACACACACACACATACACGCACGCGCATGCACACGCACACACACGCACGCACGCACACACACACACACACACGCACGCACACACACACACATACACGCACGC